GTAGAGTTGCACGTAAGAGACCAACGATACTCTGCACCAACTTGCCACAATGGACGTTAACTTCCTTAAAAGGAAAACCACTCGGTGAGGTGAACAAGTGGAACTCCATATGTGACAACATAGGTGTTGAAACCAAGTACGTCAATTTGACACGCATTATCCGTCACCAAAACTCACAGCATTACTGGGAACCAAGACTTCTCCGAGTTGTGTTGACTTCTGCCAATGAAGCAGGAGTTGTCCTGGTATCTACAGTTGGCCTCCGGAATTGGTCATGTTCCATCCGCCTATTCCCGGATATTCTGTCAAGCGAGCGCAGACTAGCGAAGCATTACTTAAACGAAAACCGGAAGGAATCCGTAGCCAGGACCATACTTGTACACGGTGTTCCCGAGGCTAGAAGGCATGATGAGCGCGAAGCGACCACCCACGACCAGGAACAACGGCGGTACAATCGCGAGACCCTCACCCTGGAGAACGTCAACGTGCAATCAATCTCGAGCTGGGCCGATTGCCAAACCACAAGAGATGTAGCCCAAAGATTGTGAAAGTGGTCCTTTAATCTAGACAGATGTCAGCAATGTCGCTGGAGTGCTGGTGCGCTGGCCGCAACAGCCTTCCTTCCGAGTTCTGGATCAAAGCAGCATCTGCTAAGCAAACGCACAAGAGTAGGCACTTAGTCAGACTAGGAGGTGGTGGGTTTTCGCGTTCTCCCTATAAATTGCCACAAATGTCCGTTTAACAACACTGCGACTTGGCGGATGTAACTCACCACTGAATAAAGTTACTGCCGACAACTATAATACGGTAAAGTCGACCAGCGTTATATTTGGATCTTTTCTTGACAACTACAAGAATAAGATACACTCTCTGTCTACACTATGTGTACGTGAACCCAAAGGATTGTCGTCCATTGACGATTTTATTTCTCATGATTACTTCCTCAATCTCCGCAGTTTGTACAAATTTCGGCCACTGCCGATTACTTACATTGAAACGGCTCTGTTGCGAACACTAACTGCCTGTAAATTTTGAGCAAGTCTGATTTGGTGTGCCTCGGTAAATTCGAGAATAAACCATTTATTTATTTATTTACTTATCGACAAGATTTTGGATAACTTCAAGCAACTAGCCAGCGCAATTGACAAACACACTCCATACATTACCTGCAAAGAGAGAAGCAAAGTGGTAATGGGAGGATAGATGAATTGGAGACATATGGGTTCTTCATCCTCCCACCTAAGAACGATTTGTTGCCGAACTTTCACTAGTTGGTATAACATTTTATCCAAAAATTTTATCCAAAACGCCCACTCAAGATTTGTTGCTAAAAGCATGTTCATCATTGCACGAGGGTCTCCTGTAGAAGCTTGTCGAACTGCAGCTACATTAAGCGCCAAATGTCTGAGACCTCCTATTCGTCCTGAAAACCTGCCTGCAATCAGAAATCGCTGATGCCTAAGTCGCTAAACATAGTATGTCTGTTCTCTGAAACGATTGACCTAGCAAAGGCGGGGCGATGCTGTTATACTACCGCAAAGACCTGCAATGTGATCTGGTGGCCGATCGAGAAACGGTGATCAAAGACTCACTCTGGTGCAGTCTGAGACTTGACGGAACGGCACTTGCCTTTTGGTCGTTGCATATCATCCCCAAATTTTCAACCCAGAGATGGACTCCCGTCTGGCATTTTCATTAGGCAGGATTCTACGAATACGGTCATGTTCTCATCTCAGGTGATTTCAATATTCATGCTATGGAAGTTCCGGCATTCCCCAACGAGCAGTTTCAGGCCGAGATGTAGGGGCTTTTTGCAAGCATTCCACTCTTCAGCCATGTCAGTTCATCTACCCGATTCAGAACCGGAAATAGACCATCTGTGCTCGGTGCAGTGCTCACGGAAGAATAGCTCATGGTTTAGAAACCAAGGTTGGAAAGCCCTCTGGGCATAGCGACTACGTAACCATAAGTTACGACTTCGTGTGTTATGCGGACCATCCACAAGAACATTGTACCTTGTTTCGACCAATTACCCCCTACTACATATTGGCAGAACTTATAGGAGATGCCAGCTGGGAGTTTCCCGATAACTGTTCCATTAACAGTGCTTTGTTGATTTTTATTGTCAAGTTCAGTGATCTGATTAAATCTGCATCGGTCAACAAGCCCCTTCGTCCAGCAAGAGCACAATCATTCATTCGGAGTAGAACCCGAAAACACATGCCAGTAAGAGACGTCGCGTGGCATGTGTATGGAGCGTGCTTTAGCCCTGACAACTGGAGTAACTAGAATGTGCATCGTAATCACGGTACCACACTTGTGCATGAGGACAGATTAGTACAACAGCAGAGTCTAGCGGCAAAGTTGTGTTCACAAAACGCTTCTGTACAGACATGTGAACAGCCTCCAGTATGTGAAGCCTGGTGTTCCCCACTCATCTCAGCAAATGAATGTGCTCAGACCTTCGAGAATGCAGCCAACATTATACGGCCCCAATATGCTCAAATTTTCCGTCGTGCTACCAGCATGTGCCACATAGGTGTCCCAATCTCCCAGAGGCCAGTATTTACACAGGTCTGCTTTAGTTTGGCGACCCTTTTGAGGAGGTTGCTGTCGTTGGGCACACATGGTTTCCCCAGAAGTTGATAACATTCTCCCGAACGCGTTGCATTTGACAGCTACGAACGTAGCTGAAACATTAAGGAGATTTTTCCAAAGATAGCTGGATGAGCAGCAAGTCCCTGTCATGGGGAAGCAAGGAATCATGACCCCGATTGTCAAATGTGGCAGCCGTTCAGAGGCAGCCCACTATCTTCTAGTGATTCTGCTCCCAGTGCTCTCAAAAGTGATGGTATCGATCGTATCTGAAGCTGTAATGGGCTACTTCGAAAGGTCCGACATCATAGCACCGGAGCAACAGTGATTCCGTCGGCATCGGTCATGTACTACCAACACACTGTGTGCCCTTATAAGTTGGACCGAGACAGCCGACAGCGGAACCGGTATTGATGTCATCTACCCAGACTTTTCCAAAGCAATCAACCGCGAAGATCACCACATCCTTCTCCAAAAGCTGCCGGTATTCGGAGATGGAAACTCTAACCTTGGATGGATCAGAAACTTCCTATTTCAGCGGCGCCTTCAGGTTCGAGTTCGAGGTTCATTTTCTGATCAAATTAGTGCGCACTGCGGTGTTCCACAAGAGTAAGTTTTGGGGCACTGTTATTCTTGTTCTTCTTTAACGACCTTGCGGGTGTCATCGTCAAATTCCCTGCTTGTTACCGATGACATCAAGAAATGGCGGGCAATTGACTGTCAGGAAGATCACTATATTTTGCAACTAGACAGACTACGCTTTCGAATGGTCGAAGTTAAATCTACTTCCGTTTAACACGGACAAGTGCAAAACCGTGCATGTCCGCCACAAGCCCACGGAGGAAAATAAGCTTGGAGACGACAGGTTAAAACTGCCTCACAAGGGCGAAACCATTGTTTGGTAATCCAAGACGACCTCGGCTGTTCGGCGCAGTCCTTGCAGGCTTCCAAAACCGCGAACCAACATGTTGGTCCGTTACGGAGTACGTTCGGTAGATTCCATCCCTCCATCTTCCCCCAAATGTTCAATGTGGATGTGAGGCCCCATGTAGAGCACGCGATCCAGTCTTGGTAACACTGTTTAGAACGCGACCTGGTTGCACTGGAGACAGCACAGCGACGGTAACGAAAAATGTGAAAGGATAGTCTCACCTGAAATACCATAGGCGCTTGCGAGCACTGAGAATGTACAGCAGGAGATAGTACCACCTGTGGAGTGACCTCGTCCTAGCATACCAGATTTTAAAAACCCCGGCCACGCTTGCCGCCACCTGAACTTTAGGTGCAACACGGAATTGAGGGGTCAAACATTGAAATTTGTCACCCAATACAGCCGGCTGGACTGCTGCCGGAATTATCTTTCTCTTAGAGGTTCTCAACCGTGGAACGTTCTTTCTACGTTTGTCCTTTCCGCGCCCATTCCACCCATTAATAAAAAAGCGACTTGAGGATGCATTACACCATTTACATGACGTGATCTGATTTCTATTCACTGAGTGACGACAAGGCACAGCTAAAAACAATGTACTCAGTAAGCCCAACGAAATCGGGGTAGATGGATATACCTAAGTGTTAACGTGGGTCCACTGATGTGTTTTTCACTTTTATGCAACTTCGTTGAACTAAACTTATTCCCACAAACCATCCCACTGAATTTGTCAAGCCTTGGCATTTGTTATCTGTAATACACCGTTGTTCCTTTGTAGGGTTGTGAAAGCAAGGTGCGACGCTCAGTACGTCACAGGCTGACGTCAGCTGTCATGCACAGGTATGAACAGCGGATGGAATTACTATGATCATACGAAAGTCATCCCATTGCAGACGGTACATCTAGTACGTACAATAGCAATCACCATAAAACGGAATTTACGTGCATGCTGCGATCAGTCTAATGCTGTATCCATCTTAGCAGTGTCTACCATATCTCATCTAGAAGCACATTATAACAGCGCTGAACTCTGATTGTGCTTAACTGCATTGAAAAATGCTTGATAAACTTTTGTCTGTTGAATTAATCCCTGGCATTGTGGGTTGCAGGTGTACTGAAAGCAAACTAAATGGCGGTAAAGACTGAATTACTGGTCCAACCCCTACGAGGTAAGGTAATGTAGACCTTTACAAAGTTCAGATAAGGTGAAAGGATTACTTTCACTCAATATCTGTTTCAGTGATTCCGTACCACATTGTTAGCTCTCTCTCTCAGTGGTAAAAACAGCGAATGACTTGTGTGAATTCGGCCGTGAATCTTCTTCCAACGAGTAACTTGACCTGCTATGGGAAAGCGAAGTGATCAGGTGGTTGCATTGCCGAATATTTGATATACTTGGCGTGAGAATGAAGAACAGCCAATTTAGCAGCAATGCAATGACCGCCCAATTTGGATCTAACTCTTTCCACTCTTCCGCTTATTGGTTAATAGAACCAAATACACTACTAATCCATGTACCTGCAAGCATCTACCTCAGATAAAAGTAACTTCGTTATGCACAGTGACTTCACATACCTGGTTGATTGTACTAAAGTCACGGAAGATCTCTGTCCTAATGTGTCCTGGATGGACACTTAACACAGTTACTCCGGTCCCCTCCAGTCGATCACTCAGTTCCAAACCATGCATCACATTCATGAGTTTTGAGTGCTTGTAGGCAGTTTGACCGTTGTACTCATCTTTTTTCATCTGCAGGTCAGGTCTGCACAATTTTCCTTGATAGTGAAATGTAGATGACACAATGATTATACGAGAAGGAGCCGCGCGCTTTATATTTCCCAAAAGCAAATCCGTCAACAGAAAGTGTCCAAGGTGGTTCACACCAATGGTTTTCTCAAAACCATCGTCGGTCTGTTCGTAGTGAGCCAAGATCAAGCCTGCGTTGTTTATGAGAAAATCGACCTTTGGATAAGCGGACGCGACGCGTTCCGCGAATTCACGGACTGACTTCAGTGAGGCTAAATCCAGTTGCTCCAATATTAACTAAAAGAAAATAACGAAGTAGGGAAGCGGTTAAAAATGACATATAAATAATTTGTCTTACATATAATTTTCCTCTTTAAGTATTTATCATAACAAAGGCTTGATGGTTGCATAATCTAGTCACACATATTTCTAACCGCTGATTCTGTCATTCCCTTGTTTAACTTGTTTATCATACGTAGGGCATTAAGGCCCGGGTTTTCCTTGACTCCTACCGTGGTCAAGGCATAAAATTCTTGCAGTTCAGCCATGCGTGCCCCAGTTTGCCTCCAAACAGTGGCACTTCAAAATTGTAGGGGTACTCCGAAGCAGCCTCAAAATTGGACTGTTCTGCGCATGCCTGAGAAAGCACTAGGCGGCAGTTTCTAGTTTTTCAGCATCATTGGTGGTATGCAACCATCAAGATTCCAAGCGATGAGTACTATCGCCTTGCACCGCTATCCAGCAACCTATTTCAAAAAGCCACAAATGACCACCTCCTAACTTCATGGTTTACAAGCTAACTGAAATAAAGCGCGTCTTCTCCTCCACTGCTATACATGTTACGAAGGTTGCAGAGGACACGGTTGGCCCTGAAAGAATGACTTTCCTGATAGTACCTTATTTACCACTGGTATCCCGCGACCAATGGCGTGCCCTGAGACACGGTACTACGGCCCAAATTTTCCCACTGTATATAAACATGCCTCAGATTCTCCGTTTCCCATGTACGTTATTCGTAGCTGACCTAATGGTGTGTAGAATAATCAATCTTTCCGATATTTTCGACTTGCAGCAGCGTAGCCTTAACCGCCTCTTCATGTGAGCTGTAGACGCCAACTGTTCGATAAATCTGGTCAAGTCCCACTTCATGAGCCTAGGTAAGCATGGACATAGTCTAACCCCCACTGTGATTGCCAATCCGCTGCAACCAGGCCTTTCTGGAAAACTTCGGTGTACTCTTACGCTGCCATTTAAACTCTGTGGACACAGAATAGGACGTGCATAAATGGGCTTCATATGGATTGGGTACTCAAGTGCAGCTTGCGCACTTGCTCCGTAGAGATTACCACTCGCCACTCGTTTCAATTATATGACCAATGTTAGAATACGGCTGACGGGTATGCTGTTATCTCCTTCGGTTCAAAGTGCAAAATGACTATCAGACTCATCCCCACTTTTGGAGGTGTGCCCTACAAAGACAGGTTCTAGAGATTAGGAGTTTAGGTCCTATCTTACTTATAAGTGCGTCTTGACCTCAACATGACGCACCGGTTATTCCAAGCTGTTGATTACCCTATATTGATGTCAATGCTGCGTATGCGCACGCTAAGCAGCGCATGTTGACATTGGTACAAACTTGAAGTAACATATTTAAACGGGTCACTCACCAAATCTACTTCGAAAAGATAGTTGTGCAAATATGAAACAATTTGCCGCTTTACGTTGTCGAAGCTAAGTCGGTGTCAGAACTCAAGAAATTTTTGAAAAAATGCTGCCGATATGAAATATCGGGAAAGCTTGCCAACAAAAAACGCCACTGAATCAGAGGAAATTTAGACGCCGCTTCACAAGGACAACCGTTTTTACCGCTTCAGTACAGCACTCCGTACTCAGTATTAATGAGGCTACACAACTGTCCCCATGTCTCTGTGGCATAAACTTCTGGCTGACGGTGCAACCCACTGGTGGTCATGGGTTCGAATCCTGATGCATCCGATGAGTGCGCACCACTGAGGAGACACAACAGATAAAATGGGCGTTTATGCCTTTTCCGACCATATGGGAGACTACCTGACTAGGGATAAACCACTAAAATATAGAGAAAAAGCCCCAACTCATGAGTAACTGTTGTGTGCAGCATCCAAATCTTGGCTGAACTGGTGCTGTATTCCCCTATTTGAAAATGAAATGCAACAAAGAAGCGCCTTCGTCAACTCGGTTATGTTGTTACTAGTCGCTACCACGCCGATACATTTTGGTTATCTCTACTTCAGCTTTAATTCAGTATTGCATTTCCATTTACTCAGTGGATAAGTGTAGTGCCTAAACTAAACTGGCGTCCAGCTGCACTTTAGTGTTATTGTCGACACCACAACCGAGTAGTAACCACCGATGCCAGGTGGGGATAGCATAGTTGCTCTGACAGTACAACTAGTAGAACACTGTATCCCAGAGGTAATCATAAAACCCTGTCCCATCTGGTACTTAGACTTGGAATTCCAGGCAAACCATTTTTACAGTTTTAAAACCGTAAAATGCACCTGGAACATATCGAGAAGCCATGGATTCACAGAGGTTTGGAAAAAATTGTTTGGCTTAATTACTGAACGACGATGTAAAAGCGGTGGATCGCGCAGAAATTGGCGACGAGCGAACCATTAGACAATTACTACTGATGAGCAGAAAGACTTCTGATAAAAGCTTAACTATTCATCACAACAGCACACGAGCCACATAGTCTGGTCACCAATCCGGAAGAGCATCAGATGGTCTCTTCGCGGTATTGGGGCTAGTAAGAGTTGCGCATCACCCTGCCCCATCTGAAACCGTCCCCCTGACTGTTAGCACCTTGTGCCTATAGTCATCAGGTTATGTAACTAAGCTCTGAGTAAGGATAGCGGACAGTCATAACTCGCCAGATAACTGGGATGCAGCGCGACCCATCCATGGTACTTACCCGCGGTGGTCCGTCAAATGTCTTAGTTATAAAATGTGCACACGCAGCTCTCATGGTCCTGGACGGAATGGATAGGGACTGCGAGAGTTCTGTTCGAGTAAAAATCTCTTAGTCAGTTTTGAGAGAGCTGACCAACTGGCAAGCAACTGCGCTAACAAAATTAATTTTTAACACTGCGCACATGTACACATAAGTCAAACTGCGAGACAGCCACGAACACAGATTTCGGAACACGAAAGTTGCATTTCACGATCACAGAGGAAAGCGATGAACTACTGGGTGGCATTACGGAACTCGGTCTAGCCGTACTTACGGTAACATAATTGAATAAACTCAAAATCATCGAAAGACGTGTCCCATCAACAACCCGGACTTTGGATACCGAGGCGGTGGTGATCGCCAAAGCCGACAGCTGTGTGAGCTAAATAGAAGAGGCGAGCCTGCTTAAGGATGGGCGAGTGTTCTTGTCCCGGTCATTCTGACGGTTAGCGGTGCGCTCAACGGATTATAAAAGATAATTAACTCCCCATTTTACTATCCCTATGGTCTTAGTTGTTAGTGTGACGACGTACGATAAACCATACCGACTACTCCTGACTAGACTACAAACACTTGAGAGGATATTGCTACCTGGGACAGAAACAATCCCTTGCCCTATGGTCTGTTAAATGGACTAGCGCCATTTTTTGCTATACAATGACTCCGATTGTCCTCTAATTCACCTGGCTTTTACGTTGAATGCGGTAAGTTCCCCAAAAAGCACACTCATCGATATTTCCATACCTTTCTGAATTCGTACAAGTTAGGTTGTTTTCTTTCCTGGAGAGTGTAGAGTAGACAGATTGCCAATCTAGATCATTCTTGGGGTAAGGGTATGCTAACTCACAGTACTGTCCAATCTGTCACCGGGAACTGCTCATTGTAAGCTTTTCAGTCCTGTAACCTACTACCAAGTTACGTTGCGGATAATGGGAAATCGCCAACCTGCATTCATAAGGGCAGATAATGGGCCACATCCCATGCAATTAGATTGAGCAAAAAAGTGATTCGAAAGGAGGTTATATATTTCAACTCCTATAGAACACAGGTAATTGGGTGTAAGTTACCCTAGTCAACACTTAACTATATTATATAAATGGTTAGTGCAAAACTTGTTATAAGTTTGATCTCATGAGTATTTGCATGGACTAATCAAATATCCAAAACCAACAAAGACAGCGAATTACAATGCTATCCAGTGTTCCACTTTCACAGGCTTTCTAAGACCGACTCGGATATTGGAGTGTTTTACCATGTGGATAATGTCAAATATACTAGCGATAGCTAGTGCACTTATTTGTCTTGGGCATCCGCTAACCCAGCTTATAGCACCCGTCAAATTGGTGGTGATTTATAAAATACTTCCCTGTTACTTCCCATTTGGTAGCCCAAGGTTGGGCGGAATGTTTTATTAGTAATTTGTCAAAACAAGGGAAGATACGATCTCATACTTCACTGGAACATCTATGCTGATGAATTTACAATATCAAGTAAGGAAATTTATATCAATAACTAGTTTGCATGCATAAAGTAGAACGTCAACTTGCTTCCGAAATAACTGTATGTGTTAAATGGACCATGAGCTGTAACCGTCACCACATCTTTCCGTAGATCTTCATTGCAGGTTTATCTTGCATGCGTGGCGTTTCAGTAAAATCCACGTAATAAACTCGATTTATGGTGGTCGAAATTCCGCAACTAAGCATTAAGAATCCAGGTGTATCTGTTCCACGGCATCGTTGACTATTAGGAAAACGGAACAAGTGTCAAGTTAGTTGGCACCGTATTTCGACCTAGGAATAGTCTCCGGGTATTTCAGACAGAGAGAATACGTTTAGAATTTTAATGAATGTAAAATAACACACATGTGCAGTGGTCGTTGTCCTTTGATCAAACGATACGGGAGAGAGTTATTGTGTGACTTCGTTAAGATTTGACAGTTAGTTCAATGAGATACCGTCGCCCCTTCATTTGATACTGCTGAGTGCCGGTTTGTGCGCCACTTTGTCTGATTCACATGGAGCAGCTTGGTACCAGCTCCGTTGTATGGAGTATTGAATATCAATCACAAACGCAAAAATCATGTTTATTTCCACTCCGATTCATTTGATCACATCACCTTGATAGCTCATTATACGCAACGTCAAATTACTCAATGAACAATGAACAATGAATTTATACGGGTTAAGAGCGTTGCTTTACAAGTCCCGTTGGATATTTGGTGGGGATATCAACTTAACAATAATGATGGTAAGGATAGTAAAATAGTTAATGCTTTAAATATGAAAATTAGGACTTATTGTTTGCTTCGCTGCAGTCCTGCGATCCTCTCAGGTTCACAGCACCCACAGTTAAAAAACAAATAATTCCATGGCAAACTCCAAGTGCAGGATGGAGACGTAAAGTGACAAAGTGTAAGTGGATGAGTGCATCGTCCAACCGTCTTTTAAATACTGTTAGTGTCGGTGCAGAGACGACCGATTCTGGGAGAGCATTCCACGGGTGACAGACAGGAATGGAAAAGAAATTTCTGCTGCACTTCAGACGAATGTATTGCTCTGCGAGTTTTAATGAGTGGTCCCTCAGGTTTGTATTGCTGCAGTTGCAGTAAAAGGTGGCACACATGATGTGGGTCTCGAGGAATCAAGTATGCCATAATAAGGTCGCCTCATAGTCCGCGACAGTTTCAATGAACACCCCAATGGTTGCAGCCTCTCCTGGTAGGAAATATTGCGTATTCCAATTACGTTCTTAGATGCCCGGCGTTGTGGCTGCTCCAGTGCATTAAGGTTGTGTTTCAGCCATGGATGCTAGGCTTGAGTTGCATATTCGACAGGGGCGAACATACGCACTGAGCATTCGTCGAAATATGGCGCGGTTTATTTGTCCAAACGCCCATCTCCATCTGCTTGTAATATGAAGGAAAACTAGCAACTGCACCCAAATTTTAACATCATTTTCTACAGAAAATAGCCCTAACGCCAACAAGTTAGAATGATTTTTAGTACAAAGTGGTTTCGCTAAATTTGTTTTGTGGCAGGGTTTGGCTCTTAACACGGAGCTATGCATTAACGTTGCACCCAGACCTGTTACAGCTTATAACTACTGAATCAATTCCAAGCTTATTCCGGAAAACTGGAGCAATTACCTAATCTGCATAAACAAACTGCATGTCTACAGTGGATTGAACATATACTGTGAATGGAGAAAGTGCAGACTTGCTTAACCATGGGACCTCGCAAACGAGAACAGCTGTGTGCCTCCACACTTTATTTACCTCGATGTACTCCCAGAAATTGGATGCACTTTTGTTTAGAGTGAACTAAGATAAAACATCAAATTTGGACACAAAAGTACAGTTGCAACTGCTTACTGGTCATTCACATAGTGTATAAACGCACTTGTTCTGGACGGATCGGTGATAGGGAGGACGCCACAACGTCGTCAGCCACGTTGATCTTTGTGCTGTTCGGATTTGAGTCCCCGTAGTCGGTGAGGATGGCATTCTTTGTCGTTGCTGCTCTTTCCATACTTCGACAGCCCATGACGACGGTGCAACCTCGTCGGGCCATCTCTGTGGTCACAACCTTTCCTATTCCACTGTTGGCTCCTGTTATCACCGCAACTTTGTCATCCAAACGCTTCGAAATGATACATTTTTTCCTTATCCACCCTTTAACTTCGGTTTTCCGGGGTTGTTGGACCATGCGTTTACCAAGAATCGGAATACTGGTTTAATGCTTATGGTGGCTCGCGTATTTACGTATGAAACCTCTTCATGTGTGCTAGTCGGCCCTAGTTAAAAGCGCACACAGACACCGCTACACGCTGCCCGGATTGGTCCGATTCAGTCACAGCCAAATTCAACATGAAAACCGGGAGCACTAACGAGCCCGGCTTTTTTCGCTGTGGTGATATCATGATAACCGAACGAACTATCCCGAACAAAAAGCGTCAGGTGTGCTTAGTGATTAAACATCAAATAAAGATTTTTGCAGATAGAAAACACCGTATCGAATGATCGCAGAAGAAGAAATGAACAGAACAGTACAACAAGATACAAGGTACATCAAGTTGATTTTGTCAAATGAATCTAACTAAATAGTGCTAGGAATCACTAGCCGGAAAGGCACGGTTATGCTTGTCATTTTGATGCGGGTCTCAAAGACTGTCTGTCTGCCTGATGCAGTCATTTTTCATTGTGGGAGTCGGTAGAGTAATGTGTGTTTGGTGAGCAGTCACTGAGGTAGTACTTGTTCCCTTGTATCAACTGCAACCCGTCATTCCGGCCTATTCATATCTCTACAAAGAGAACAATTCCTTTTATTTTCTTCCGAGAGCATCTCGCGAAACGCTTCTAAAATAATATAACTTATCCATTGGACGCTTCACGATTGATCAAGCACTATTTCGATTTCCGGCAAACCGTGCAGCATAGATTGTTTAGTTTCACCAAGCTCGAATCTGTGCCAGTCTCCAAACTATGACAAAAATCTTATCTCAAATGCCAGCTATTCAGAAGCAACCTCCTCGGGAAAAATCAGAAAATGTCATCGATAGTTTGCGTTGCGATCTCTAGTTCATTCTATGACTCAAAAAGTATTTTAGGTACAAACATCGGCTACCATAAAAGCTGAGTCACAACCGCTAACTCACTGGGCGAAACAATAGCTATCCATATCTCGTACAACAGCTTCATCAGAAGCGGTTGAACTTTCGCAGAGCTTAGCAGTTTTGTTGCAAATGTTCCATCACGAATTGATGTGACATTATCAGCATGTTGTTGCATAGCGTGTAGTTACGCAGCGTAGGAAAGCATCGGTACTCTCACCGCGACTTCCTACGCTATGCTACGCAACAATATTCTGATGATGTCACCACAATTGGTGATTAAACGTTTGCAAGCAAATTGTCAAGCTCAGTCAACAATTCAACCGTCATCTGGGCCACCTGAGCTACTAGTTTTCGTTTCCAGATCCATAAGTACATCAAATACAGTAAAACCTCCATAAGTTGACCATTCAACTGATGGGACCAAAGTCGTTAACATACAGATGTCTGGTCACATAAGGTTTACATGTCGGACTTTCAAACAGTGATAGAAAGCCGGTCAAATTAGTGAGACAGTCAGGAAAGATCATTGACAAACCTCGGAGGGTTTACTGTAACTAAGACATTTTGATGACCCTGAGTAACCATGACCTCCACGACTAGCTGCACGAAAACCAGGAGACTCCGCATCCAGAGTGAACAGCCGTTGCATGAACGTGTGCCTCATCGATGCAATGAAAATGCAGCTCCCAGTTTTTTTGGTTCATTTCCAGTCAAGTACACCCAATTAGACTTTTGGAAAAATATTTGACGGACTAGTTTACCTAATATGACAGGTGCATGTGCGTTTGTTTAGTCAGTAAGCTGACTTTACATGCCTGCGCTTCGCAGTCACATTCTGGTCTCGAACCTTCACACCCTAATTTGCGGTGAGACCCAAAACAAGAGCACATCTTCATTCGTGGAGCAAGTGGCACCACAGCTCAAGTACGAGTGCAGTTGCCTACGCTCGTCACTCATGGGTTTATTTGGGGAACTGATGATTGGCGGAATCTCCTTCCAACACAAATTTGATCAGCGTTTACAAGCAGCTAAAGTAACACTAGGTAGCATAACAATCAGTTTGATCAGATGTGCTTGTTTTGCAGTGCATGAGACCCCCGTCTTGGGTCATTTACATGCGTCGACAGGAAACCCAGCTCCGACAAAACTTTAGTTAACAAAGTGATGGTTTTCATGCAGGTTGCCCGAATCTCATCAAGCTCCAATAATTATAAAACAGCATGGGTTATTAACATGCTAGATGGCGATGGCTTACGTACAAGTACAACCAGAGTCACGGCTAAATTCATATGCAGCTCCAAACCCAGCTGTTAAAGTTTCCGAATATTGGACCTTGTGTTCCGGCTAAGTAATTACTCCTAAACTACTACTTCTAAACTACTCCCCAAAGAAACTAGAAGTACACAGCGCCTTGACGGATTTTCTTTGGTTCTTCACAGTGTACCGCCAGCCCTTATTGAAGATTAGTGATACGGTGCCATCGAAATATACAAACTCGGGAGATGACAATTTAGTATCTGATTACTCTTTAGAAGGAAATTACTGAGTTAGGCATAACAGCAACAGCATTCAGCAAGATACCCAAGAATCCGAACTAGCTGCCGGAGAGATAACGCAGGTTCGCTGATTGCGATGACTCCTACCTTGGTCAATGACGTCGTAACGACGCTTGCATACTATACCTGAGCACCTCGCATATATAGGCATATGTTTTCTCCGCTCTCAGAGAGAAAGCAATTCCAGTCTCTCAGCCGCGGTAGATAAGTGGGCGCGAGGTAAATCACACGCAGTACAGCTACGCGGACGATGCTGCTCAACATTCTACAATGCACTCAAGCTACACGACTAACCAAATGCGTGGGTGCTGGACGAAACCACAACTCGCTGACAGCTTGGTGCATTACTCTGCTTGAACAAGCTGAAAACTTAATAATTAGCTAGCTGCTGGATGACGCGAAACAATTCGACTACATGTGTACCACCCGATAAGATTCCAACATAAACTGGTTTGCATCAATCACCATGACTGTCATTCAAACTCCGTACAACGTGACTGATTCCGACTACTTTCGGCAATGCTATAGTCAGGAGACGAAAGGCCTGCCATTCTCTCCGCATCAATTCTCCTGCGATTCGCATAAGGCTGAGTTCGTTTTATTCTAGACTTCCCCAGCATCAAGCATCATCAACGAAGATGTCGCATAAGCTTGTCCCTCAGGGATGAGCGACTGTTTAAAAATAGCAAATCAACGTTAAGTGCAGCACATTTGACCTCAGATTGCCTCATACATTCTGTTCATACATTGTTACGAAAAACCATGTTTTCGAATGACGACACCATCCTTTCGTCTCAGTTAGACAAACGGCAATGAAAGCGCCGTAGTACACACGAGATTCAGCCAACGCGCAGATCAAGGTAGAGGATTTTTCACGACTGTTGGTCCATTCGAACCAGGCAGGTCTTTGTGCCACCAGTCGTCTGGTTCTTTCTTTGCATCTAGTTGTTAACTCTGACAAGACGTTCCCACTACGGGAGGTACAACAGATCATTACCGCACGAAAAAGGACGAACATTCATTTCTTTCATGGTGTTCAGAATTCCGATGTACAAGGGATTAAGCGCGCGTCTGGGCAGAGTGGAACTGAATCCGTGAGACACACTCTGTTTGCTGCATTATGCCCACACCGTGGACGTCAAGATTACACTTCTCATCCAGGCACAAAAGAGTGGTACAGTGGCACTCATACTCATAACTCAGTCCAAATATAGAGCAGAAATTTTGTTGGGGATGCAGCGTAAGTTTTGCAAAGTGCGGCCACCTAGGTGTCCTCTAAAGGCGTGCAATACCCATCCGAAATCGAACAAGAAAATGGAAAATCAAGAGCTGTTAGTAACCCACCTAGTAAAAAGCAGTACATCACAGTGAACAACGGCAACAACATCAGATTGCCCGCCACACAACGGGATCCAGATCTATCCTGTGGATAAGCTACATAACTAGTACAGTTCTCCGAAAACGCTTAGCAACCGATCTAACGGGAGCGGTGTAATCACAAACTTGTCGTCATTGGTCACAAAGGAGGTTTCAGCGCCCGTTTGTAAGATAATGAATACGCTTCTCAGGTAACTGGCTGTGATTCGATTTGATCAGACAGGAACACCTCCTGAGCTCGTAATGATAAATGTGACGTAAATGGATGACGAGATCACCAATGTCGGAATTGTACTGACTACCCATTGATCAACTTGCTGATGAGGTGGGGAAATTCCACTACATTGCGTTTTTTGCCTTTGAATCCCGTTGATGAGCTGAAGTTGAAGTTGTCAGCTCTACTAGTTGCAATTGCATACGTTTAGCGTTCATTCGTAATTGATCTTTCAAAGCTCACTTTACAAACTGACCATCGCATCTAATTCTCTATGAATTACCCTTTTGTAAGGTGGCACAGACACGTTCTTCTGGTAGATAAATTAGGCCTTCAGATTCCGATGTTTTAATCTCAGTCAAGGAGTCCTTCAGGACGGAGTAGTATTAGCTGCACACTGGAGTGCCGCTATATAATCAGTTTAATTTCGTCACAATGTTAAGTACCTTGAAATGAAGCAAATCTGCTACATTTGGTTTTCGCCTACGATAAATGCATGATGGAATAAGCAGTAGTGTGCAATTTCTTTGCCCTTGGAGCAGTGCGACACTCCGTTGCTTTACAAGGTCTGCTAGGCAGTAATCATGTCACCCAACGTCATGCTTATTGTTCTTCAAGGGAACCAGCTGCTTGTTTCTATAGAAACAATATTTCTGCACAAACGGAAGTATTTTTTTAACCTTTATAATGCTTTGATGTCAAAACATCAAGATAAGTTCATCACTGTCGAGGATACAAATTCTATGTCCATGAGAGTATGAGTTGGACCAATATTCAAAGCCTGCCAATGTGTTACCAAATGAGAAACCCATTAAACAATCTATTGTTCTCTCAAATACACAGTCAGAAAAAAACACAAAACAGTTGAACCGCTAGACGAGCCTTTCGTCCTTTTGGGAATAATCGGCAAATCATTATCCTTCACCCAACCTTCGAAGCTATTAAATAGGGGACCCTGTGTTGGGTTGGATAAGTAATTTCCTTATTTAATGTCATCTGAAGGT